TTGATATTAGAAAATGCCACATATCCAGATGTTTTTCAATGCAGACCTGATGCGTGTAAGAAAACTTTTAAAAGCTGGAAAAATAACTGCAAATAGATGGAATTGGCTACTACATAATAAATTTCCTAAGAATGGAAATTCAGCACTAAATCAGTAAATTAAATAATATGTCTGGTTTATTCTGTTTAAAAGAGGATAAAATGTAATAAATAAGATCCACAAACTTTCTCATGGGTTGAGATGCAAATAAGGAAAGCCTAGTTTGGGAATCCTGCATTCTATTTTTGTACCTGGGAATCATAACAAGAATCAGTATGGGACCATGAGACCACATCAAAGGGATATGCCATAGCTGGGCTCATTCAACTGATTAAACAGAGTGCCATGGGTACCTTCATCTTTGGCATAAATACTTCATCTTTGGACAAAAATATCTTTGTTAATATCAATTGTTCCTGAAGGTGTTTTGGGAAAGGAGGAGGACACCTACCCCTCTGCCCCCAAATAGAGCAGATAGTCTTGTAACATTAAATGAAAAAATAAAGCTTTCTTCAGGACAGTATTTAAAAATCACTCCAAAATGGTTTCTTGTGTTACTTTTGTTGGTTTGCATTGCTTTCTTACTCAAAAACTTTATTAACTCTGAAATACAATGTCAGTCAACTCGCATCTATAAACCTCAATCTCCCTACTTTGTAAAATGAAATAACATCATGTACCCTGTTTGGTGGAAGAATCCAATAAAATGATGTATTCAGGTGTACCTTAGGAACTATAATGCTAATCATGTTCAGAAATTATTTATATAGGCACTAAGTAATGTTTTGTTCACTAATGGAATAGATTCTTAAGATACAGATCCAGCTTTTGCTATGGAATATATATTTTATGTAAGCTTGTCAGATGTGCCTTTTTGACAAATGGAAACCAAAGCATTGAGAATTATAACAATGATAAAAGCAGGATGTCATTTGGAATAGGTTATGAAATGTCATGGCAACAGATAACATGGATCCTCAGCTTCCTAAATCCCATCCCAAACTTCAATTTGTAAATAGTAAAAATTATGTAGTATGAAGGATAGTGGTTGTCTCTAAACACCACATTAACTATGGTTTCCCATCTGAGAAGTCAAGAGACCACACATTTTTAAGAAAGTATGTATGTACAATAAATTTGTACCTAAAAATTATAGCCCTAAGGAAAAATCAACTTTACAGATTTGAGGAAAGTATAATTTATTTTTATGACACAATTTCTCAGGAACTTAATCCTAGTTGAAAGTCATTTGCTAAGTTATTTGCCCAGTAAACCAACTTCCTCCCACCAGCTTTTGTGCTCCAGTTTTAAGCAAGACTATCCTCAGAGATATTGAAAGTGCATACAAGAGCTTACAGGAAGTTGCTCCCAGGGCTAGTCTATGTTACAGGTGAAAGGCTGCATCAATAACATCTTCCTGGAAACTTAGATAGCTATATTTCTTCCTGGTTAGTTAAAATTCTGACACTCAGCAGTTGGATTATTGCCAGAAAACCTAGGATTTAGGAAAGAGAGAGAGGGAGGGAGAGATTTGCACACTTTTGAAAATGTATTTTAGCATATATGCATATTTTCTTCTAGAATTCTAGGGCTTTATTCTGGCATTCTTGGGCCAAAGACTATATAGAAAATGAACTCAGTTTTGCCACTAAACTTTCTCTTCTTTTATGTCTAAAGGTTAGTGGCAAGGTTGTCTAAGTAGGAAATCTAACCTGTAAGGCTGGATTGAATTTTGCCCAAAGGGCTCTGTCACTGCCAGTTTGAACCCTCCGACACTTTAGGTTGGGTTAAGAGGCGTAGAGCCTGCTTGCCTTCATCATTCCTTCCTCTCTTGTTTTCCTTACTCTATATCTTTTTTTGGGTCCAAGTTAAAAATAAGCATTTTCTGAAGCTAAAATTGTGGGTAAAGTCAGGGTAGGCCCAGTGTTCTCTGTGCCCTTTCATCCTTGACAGTTGAATCTCAAATGTCATGAACTAGAACTTACTTTGCTTGGGTAACGGAAATTCTTGATCTCTTAATCCTGACCTCAAAGTCCCTACCTCTTTAGAAAATCCATGCCATGTAAACACATGCACACTATCTGCTGCTCAAGGATATAGGCCTGCTTTTTATCCTGTTCTGTTCTCATCTCTTTAGTGCTTTAAGAAGTCAACTATTTAAGAGAAAGTCTTTGAAGATAGCATCCAGTTCTCATTTAGACACATACTTGTCCTTTAATCTCTTTAGCAATATACTTTTGTACATATATACTACCTTTGAGCATGTATTATTATTAATTTTTCAAGACTATAATACCATTTCCATTCTAGGCTTCATGCTCAGCTCTTCGGTTCAATTCTTTTCTTTTCTTTTTTTTAAATATATTTTATTGATTTTTTTTTTTTACAGAGAGGAAGAAAGAGGGATAGAGAGTTAGAAACATCGATGAGAGAGCAATCATCGATCAGCTGCCTCTTGCACACCCCCTACTGGGGATGTGCCCGCAACCAACATATATGCCCTTGACCGGAATTGAACCCGGGACCTTTCAGTCCACAGGCCAAAGCTCTATCCACTGAGCCAAACAGGCTTCAGCTCAATTCTTTTCAATGACTGTCCCTACCATCCTCACTCTTGTAATATTAGGAAGACTTAGGATTGCTTGAATATTTTCAGTTATCTTTTCAAATCCTTGCTTTTCTTGGGAAATAATACAAATATCACCAGTGGTCATTGAACCCAATTGTTTAGATTTGGAATAACTTTTTTAATACTGTACAATACTTACATTTCAGAAAAGTAGTTGAATATAGAAAACGATATATTATATATTTGAAAGTTGGTAATAATACAATATTGTATATTTGAAAGTTTAAGTAGATCTTAAAAGTTCTCATCACAAGAAAAAAACTATAGTTACGTGTGGTGATGAATGTTAACTAGACCTATTGTGATCATTTCACAATATATATAATGTAAAAGCATCTCCCTTACCTTTTCTGTCCTTTCCTCATTACTCCTGTGTCCCTTGTAGATTCCTAACATTGGAGGAACCAGTACTCAATACTTAGGCATCTTCTCTTCTCTATCTACACACACTCCCTTGGTGATCCTTTTGTATAATCTTCTTAACTTTAAACACCATCTCTAAACTGATGATTCACAGATTTATATCCTCAGCTTAGATCTATGTGCTGCTCAGCATCTCTACTTTAAAGTCTAATACCAGTCCAAGGTGTTGGACTTAAAAAATGTTTTTATTGACTTTTCTTTTTAAGAGAGCGAGGAAGGGAGAAGGAGATAGAGAGAAACGTGATAAGAGAAAAATAGACCAATTGTCTCTTGCACACTCCCTGATGTGTTTGGAGCCTGCAACTCAGGTTACCTGACCAGGAATGGAACTGGTGACCTTCAACCTCAATTAAAACTGCTGAATGAATAAACGTTAATGATGCTAATTGACATCAACACTAAATAATAAAAATCAATAGTATGAATGACCAAAGTTGATAGAAGTTGAATTTCAAAGCCGTAGATGCTTTAAGACTTACCCAGTACAACCCATTTAAAAATTTAGATATCAGAACCAGAGAAATAAGATTTATCAGAGATCATACTGCTAGTTCATGGCAAAGAGGAAAGAAAATCTGGTTCTTTTAGCTTAGTGGTTTTCTCTAATCTTCACTGATTCTCTTACCTATTCCCTAAGGTTATCCTAAACTTATTTTAAAAATGTATTTTTATTAATTTCAAAGAGGAAGGGAAGGGGAGAGAGAGAGAAACATCAATGATGAGAGAGAACCATCGATCAACTGCCTCCTGTATGCCCCTACTGGGGATCAAGCCCTCAACATGGACATGTGCTTTTGACTGAATCAATCCCAGGACTCTCAGTCCACAAGCCAACACTCTATCCACTAAACCAAGCCAGCTAGGGCTAACCTAGACTTCCTGAGACTCTAGAGGATCATCATAAAAAAAAAACTACATCTAAGTTAGAGGCCTGACACACGAAGATTCGTGCAAGAATGGGCCTTCCTTCTCCAGCACCTTCACTCTGGCTGGAGCCACCTTTCTGCTCCAGCCCGGAGCTGCCTTTCCACCTTCCCACATTGCCCACTTGGCACCTGTGTATGCAAATTAGCCCACCATCTTTGTTGTGTTAATTTGCATACTAACTCCTGATTAGCTGGTGGGCATCATGAAGGTATGGCCAATTAGCATGTTGCCCTTTTATTAGGTAAATGGTGTTTAACATATTTCTCCCAAGAAACATTAACTAAATAAATGGTATCTTGATAGCTCATATACAAGGACCTCACAACAGCCACCAGAAAAAATGATAATGACCCCCAACTTATGGATTTGATCACAGGGCTCCCAGAATCTATCACCAATTGTCGTAGGCACCCAGCTCTCTGTAGCCTCCTCTGTCTTTGCAGATAATATTGCTCACATATAGTTACTTTTAACATCAATCTATACACTTTGTATAGTTCAGAGGCAGTTCACATGTTACAAAAGATATGATTAGCCTTTGTGGTATTGAGAAAACACATTATCAGGGAAGCCATAGCCAGTTTTTCTCAGTAGATAGAGCATCAACCTGTGGACTCAAGGGTCCCAGGTTTGATTCCAGTCAAGGACACAAGCCCGGGTTACAGACTTGATTCCCAGTAGGGGAGGTAGCCAAACAAAGATTCTTTCTCATCATTGATGTTTCTCTCTCTCTCCCTTTCTTCCACTCTGAAATCAATAGAAATATATATTTTTTTAATTACCTGGGAAAAAATAAATGTTCAGGAATCTTTTCTCAGGTCAGATTTCTGCTTTGTCCCCTTTTCTATAGGTGCAATTACTTTCCTTAGCCAATAGGAAAAGCTACGTTAGTGAGTACCCAAGTCTTTTTATAACCAAAGTTAATTTATACTTTTCCAAATGACTAATTCCCATCCTTTTTTTCTATTTATTTTTATTATAGGGGAAGAACAGCAGATAAAGAAAAAGAAAATCAGAAAGTCTGGAAAGAAGAAAAGTTGTTCAGAGGAAGAACACAAAATTGAACTTATTTAGGTTCAGAGCTGCCACCCCTGATGCCACAGCCAGTTATTTTCCACCAAAGAGATGGAGGAAGTGATTCATGGAAGCTACTTTGCCACAGTAAATAAGATGGGATGTGGCCAAAAAAGTTAAAGCATGCACTTACTGACCAGACAGATGATAATAACATTAATGAACTGAACATTGGGGGAAGAGTTTTATAACATTTTTGTGACTCAGCTTTATCCAAAAGTATTCATTATGCTTAGTAAGAGCAACATACTGTACTAGGGGCAATGTGTTACACCAAGGAGTATGGCCGAAGTGGTACCAATAATAAGATAGTACAAAGAACAAGAAGAGTCCAAACTATACATGTTACAATTTGCTAAGAGAGAAAAAAACACGTTTCAGCCGAAACCTGTTTGGCTCAGCGGTACAGCGTCAGTCTGTGGACTGAAAGGTCCCTGGTTCGATTCCAGTCAATGGCATGTACATTGGTTGCGGGCACATCCCCGGTAGGGGGTGTGCAAGAGGCAGCTGGTCGATGTTTCTCTCTCAGCGACGTTTCTAGCTCTCTATCTCTCTCCCTTCCTCTCTGTAAAAAAATCAATAAAATATAATAAAAAATAAAAAGAAAAAAATAAAAGAAAAAAACATAACATTTCAATCATGTTTTTTAAAACTTAAGACTCCTATGGTATTATATAGGCCTTAATTCTCCTAATATATGATGATAAAAACTTCAATAAACTGCTTCTATACCTGAAATAAACATAAAAGAGAAAAAAACACAATGTATTTTTACAGACTTAAGGCAGAAATTTTGAAGTATTTACATTAAATGGGACTTTTTTAAATGTACCCATCACTTGTGCCTCCTGTATTGATGTGTGTAATGAATACAGATTTAAAATATACTTGCCCTCTGACCTTAATTATAAATACTGGATAAGGGCAAAAGTAGGTGTACAGTTGTATGTGAAACAGTTTTTTTCTTGTATTGTTATTTATTAATTATTGTATTATTTTCCATATGAACAACTGTAAAACTACTTTTGCCCCACTCTCTGTATAGCCATAGACCCCTTATGTTTTTTTTCCCTAATGAGAATATTAGAAGTAGACTTTGTTTCAGTGCTAATCACACCTATCAAAAACATTCTCTTGACTTAATACAAACTTTCTAGCAGCCACATACTAAAGAAAGAAACCCTGCTTCTCTTCATAGCTTTTCCTGGTGCATCTCCAGAAGAATTGGCTGTTTTTATTCAAATTGTTTTTCTATTTCATAAAGTAAAGGGGTGCTGAGGATTGTAGAAATATGATGGGTAAGACTTATATTTCAAACTTGTATTCCAGAAACAGTCCGAGCCCACCCTGGAGTTAATGGGCTGCTCTCATGTCCACTCAGAGAATGAGAACCAAACAAAGAAAAATGTTTGCTCAGATAAGAGAAGGATTCCATCAGGAAAATAAGAAGAAAAGATAGGAGAGAGAGACTTAAAGAAGGTATAGTGTTCCCAATAAGTAAACATTTTATTTTGCTTTACAATAGGCAGGAAACAATCTACTATTTGTTATTTTCCAAATTATCAGTATTTTTACTGATTAAAGACTAAAGTATTTTATTTCTCTTTGGTCTTATTTAGGAAGAAAGGCCAAGAATAGGAGTTCTGGGTCACTCTATTCCTAAGAAAACCTTTGTATTTCAGGCACTCGTGACAGTGATAAAATACACAGATGGGTTCAAAATACTACCAAATTGTCTAATTCCTGGAAGACTAAAGTAATTTTTTCTAATAGTAAAATCAATAATCCACAAATAGTGCTACCCCAAAATAGAGAAAGTATAGTTTCTAAGTATAATAATATAAAAGCCAACTTTTTTAAATGGCTTTGAGCTTCTCTCAAACTTATTGTTTGAAAAACTAACAAGAAACTAGACCAACTCACTAAAGCTTTAACTTTCTCCTCTTTCAAACTTAGGTCTTCTGGAAAAGATATAAAAGTACAAGGGGTAAAAAAGTAGGATTAAGGAAACAAAAATAGAAAGAAAAATATGGAAAAACAAGTGAGCTATGTGTTGTTGTTTTTTCCATTCTCAGACTAATGCTGTCCTACATAATCCTCAGTGCCCAACCCATGTGCTGACCTGCCATGCTTGGGTCATTAGTCTCTGTTCACTCATTTTCTCTCAGAAATCACATGTTGCATCCCCCAGAGTGAAAAATATCTCCAATGTTCCATCCGTTAATTTTCCACCCATTGGAAAAAGATAACAAAAACTACTAGTGGGGGGCGAGAGGTTTATTTAAAAATACTTTTGGCATCAATTAAGTAATGAGACCATAAAGACATAGGTGGGCTGGGGAATTAGAAAGAGAGCGCAAGCCTGGTGCTTTCAACCAGGCTTCAGGAGCTAGAGCAAAGTGCAATCACAGAAGCTGCCAAGTGAAGATGCTAAGTAGGGATCAAGAGGGCCACTGCCTGCCAGTGGATAGAGCGTTGGCCTGTGGACTGAAGGGTCCCAGATTTAATTCCAGTCAAGGGCATGGACCTTAGTTGTGGGCATATCTCCAGTAAGGGGTGTGCAGGAGGCAGTTGATAGATGTTTCTCTCTCATCAATGTTTCTAACTTTCTATCCCTCTCCCTTCCCGTCTGTAAAAATCAATTAAAAAAGAAAAAGAAAAAAGAAATTGGTAGCTTTACTTGCTCTTGAAGAAGAAAACTAAGGGTCTGGGGAACAACATGAAAAGGCTTTTCAATATTCAGCCTTTTGTGTCTTTTGAACTTTGAACCAAGTGATATAGAAATGATTCAAAAATATAATATTTAAATTAAATGGTTTTTTTTAGAAGAGAAAAGTATGACCTCTGATTTCTATGAATTTATTAGCATTGCAACAATAATAAAACACACACACACACACACACACACACACACAAAATTAACTCTTTCCAAAGTGTTCTTTGGTACTTGTTCCTTCAAGTTCACTCTCTTAAACCAATACATTTTTGGTTGGTTGATTGGTTGGTTAATCCTCACTTGAGGATATTTTTTCCATTGACTTTTAGAAAAAATAGAAGGAATAAGGGATTCAGAGGGACAGAGACAGAGAAAGAGAAGGAGACATTGATGTGAGAGAGACATCAACTGGTTGCCTTCAACATGCACCTCTGACCAGGGTGAGAATAAAACCTGCAACCCAATTTGAGTTAGGAAATATAACGTTTTATTCCCTTAGAATTTTCTGCTTACTCCCTATTGTAATCCTCTTCAAATCTGTTTCTTTTAACTACCTACAATTATCAACTTAGCATTCAATAATTCTTCATAGCACATGGAATATAAAGTATACAGCCTATTTTGATAAGGATTAATGAAGACTTCAACATCTGAGAAAATATTATTTCAACATAAGAGTTGATTCAGATTATGTAATAAATGCTGAGTGATTGAAGGACAACATCTGATTACCCTCAGAATGCAGATTGGGCCGTAGCTGGTTTGGCTCAGTGTATAGAGCATCATCCTGTGGACTCAAGGGTCCTGGTTCAATTTCCGTCAAAGGCACATGTTCTGGTTGTGGGCTCAGGAGGGGGCATGCAGGAGGCAGTCAATCAATGATTCCTTCTCATCATTGATATTTCTATCTCTTTCTTCCTCTCCCTTCCTCTCTGAAATCAATAAAAATACATTTAAAAAAAACAATGCAGATTGGATTTGTCAGGATAAGCTATTCTATGCTGTTGCAACAAAAGCACAAAAAGAAACAAAGAAGAATCTCAGTGCCTTAAAACAATTTGATATTTCTTCTATAACAGTCTAATATGATTGGCAATTTGGTTCATGAGTGGGTGGGTTACTAAAGTCCAAGTGGGGACTCAGAGGCAAAGGCTACTTCCATCTTGCGGATACCACTTTAACACATGTCATCCATGAGAAAAAAGGAGCAAGATCACAAGAGGGAGATTTTTAGGGATCAAATCTGAAAATGCATACATTACTCTCAACAATTTTCTATTGGTCGGAACTAGTAATATGATATACTATCTAAAAGTCCAGAATACTGTCATGCTGCCAAATTTTAAAAGCCTTGCTTTATAATACTTCTCCCTCTTTGAAACATCAACACAACATTTCTAGGAACATGTCATTACTCATCTAAGACTTTAAAAAAGAGAAGCAAATTAGGGGCCAGAGTTCTGACTATGGGCACCCAGCAGCCCTTTTGAGCCTCCACTCCTCCTACCAGTCTCTATGCGGTCTCCACTTTTGGTAACAGGGTTCTCTCTTGCAAGTTTTCTGTTGATTATTCAGGAAGTTTTTCTGTATTTCAGTTGTAATTCCAGTTTGTTCCTGGGAGCATGTCCATGCAGCATTCACTTACTCTGTTACCATTTTTTTAATCTCAAAGGCATTCTCAAAGGAGTGGTAGAAATTGGATCAGAAAATCATAAATAAGATAAATTTGTAGTTATAGATTTGCCCATATCTCAGACCACAAATTTATGTTTACAAGAGAAATGATAAAATTTTAGCCAAAAAGATCTTTTTTAATATATTTTTATTGATTTCAGAGAGGAACAGACAGGGAGAGAGAGATAGAAACATCAATGGTGAAAGACAATTATTGATCAGCCGCCTCCTACATGCCCCATATTGGGGATCAAACCCACAACCTGGGCATGTGCCCTGACCAGAAATTGAACCATGACCTCCTGGTTCATAGGTCAATGATCAGCCACTGAGCCACGCTGGCTGGGCTTAATAAAAGAGATTTAAACTCAAGGATTCTGTGCCCTCTCATCCAGTCTCTTAGAAATTTTCATGCATGATTTCAGGATCTTATGCAGTTTCAAGTTTGTGTGTGTGGTTTTGTCTGGTTTTTTGGTTTTTTTTTAGGAGGAGGTGGAGCGGGTTGGAAGGTGGGAGGTAGTACTTAAATGAATATCTCATAATATTATCCAGGCTCTGAAACAATAACTCTCCTAATATATGGGAGAGGAGATTCAAATTACTCTTTGGG